TTTCCCCCCAAAGAAAGTCACTAATACAGTATTTATGATTCGCAAACATCGTGAAGATGGCAACAATCTACGGGGTAATTTTTCTCTAAAAAATGACAGTGATGCAGTTTATACACGGTATTTCAAGCAAAAACAACCATATTTTAGATAGCAAAACTTTACGGGGTAAATTTCCCCTCAAAGAATATCACTCATACAGAATTTATGCTTCACATTATCTTGGCGGTAACAAAAATCTACAATGTAAATTTCCACTTAAAATAATTATTGATACAGTTTATCTTATACGTAGAAAAGGCGAACATTACACTTTGAAAAATCGTTGAACTCTACAGGGTAAATTTCCTCTCAGAGATTGATACAGTTTATATAAAGTATTAAAAGCAAAAACACCCATCGTTTAGATAGCAAGACTTTACGGGGTAAATTTTCCCCCAAAGAAAATAACTGATATAGTTTTTATGATTCACAACATCTTAAAGATAGCAAAAATCTTCGGGGTAAACTGCCTCTCAAAAATAACATCGATACAGTTTCCATATATTAATTCAAAGCAAAAGCACCAATGTTTTAGAAAGTAAGACTTTACGGGGTAAATTTCCCCCCCCCCCTCAAAAGAAGGTATCACTGATACAGTATTCATTACTCGTATCAAAAGCGAACAGTACACTTTGAAAATCGCAGAACTCTACAGGGTAAATTTCCTCTCAAAAATGACATTGATTCAGTTTATATACAGTGTTGAAAGCAAAGGCAACCATCTTGATGATAGCAAGACTTTAAGGGGCAAATTTCCCCCCAAAGAAAATCACTGAAACAGTATCTTTGATTCGCAAACATCTATAAGATGGTTACAATCTATAAGGTAATTTTTCTATTAAAAATGACATTGATACAGTTTATATACAGTATTTCAAAGCAGAAACACCCATCTTTAAGACAGCAAGACTTTACGGGGTAACCCCCCCCCCCCCCCCGCAAGAATATCACTGATACAGAATTTACGGGTAAATTTCCTCTGAAAAATATTACTGATACAGTTAACATCATACTTTAAAAAAAGAAACATTAAATTTTGAAAATAGCAAGTATGTAAGGGGTAAATCCCTCCGTCCCAATGAGTATCAATAGTACAGTATATATTATTCAAAGCATGAACAACCACTGCAACTCGATGATAGCAAGACTTTACGGGATAACCCCCCACCCCACCCCACCCCCCCACCCCCCACACACACACCCACACACACCCACACAAAGAATATAACAGAATAAAACAAATATTACTTTTTGAAAAAAGCAGAACTTTTCAAGGTAAATTTCCTCTCATAAAATAAACTAATTCTGTATATATTGTTTACAGAAAAAGCATACATTACATCTTGATGACAAAAAGACTCGGGGTAAATTTCATATCAAAGAATATCAATAATATATTATTTTTATATTACAAACGATACCTTTATCTTAATATCATGCAAGCTGGAAAAGCTAAATATTAAAGTTAACATAATATTAAACCTTCTGAACATAGAAAAACATACAAAAACATAAAAAAAACCTCTGACATCTTTCTTTCTCTGTTAAAGGTATAAGATTTCTTTGTGTCCCGTTACATTTTCTTTATTTAAACAGTGTCCTCCTTTAATATCTTTGACCGAAGTTCCAATACTATGCTTTTCTCTTGGCTGATACAATAGACAGATTGTAGAGTGCATTTTCCAAAGGAAATCTGGCAACCATATTCTGATCCAATCCATAGTCGACCTATGGATGAAAATTTTAAGACTCATAAATTTCAATTTTCCAAAGCCATAGACATTTATATATGATTTCATGACAGATTTGACTGGTTTAATATTGCACACTAGAGTAGATCAGCAGGTGCCTGCTCCCGAATTTTTGTAAAACAGTCTTTCTGTTTATATTGCATGGAAATGGCATTCTTCTAAAGATCCCCCCCCCAACACACACTCATATACACACATCCATTTATACATGTTTCTGAGAATAATGCTCATTCGTGATATGGGTCTACATAAGATAATCAAAAAAAGTTAAATGGACTTACTATAGTATTGTATTTGTATTGTACATGTATTACTGATGCCCTCTAGGTCCATTATGGACGTTTTTTAAGGGGAAGTGAGAGAGGTAACTGATAGCATATGCAGACAGTTTTACTGCAACCTTAAAGTTTAACATTTCAGCTTCAATTATTTCACGTAATAAAGAAAGCAACCAGGTTCCAAAATCCTTATGCTGCGAAATGGAATTGTAGATCAGGAACGAATTCAACTGCAGATACTGCCTAAAAAATACATATATAAAATTGTATATTTACCTTGTTTGTTCAAGATTTGGACTTAAATTTGTAGTTCAGTTCCAGTACAAAGCAGTCTCTTTTGTATCGAATCGTCCATAAAAGTACACTTTTTAAACATTCTTGAAGTACTTGCGTCCACAAAACTGAAAGGTCATCTAGATTGGTTTCCTTTCCCTAATTTGCTTAGTGTTCTGTGTGACCTTTGGCGTGGATGAGCCAGGGAACAAGGCAAATGAACGCCGGCCATATCAATACGGCCAATAATATTTAAATTCCCAACTCACTATTAACCATGTAGTGTATATTACAGGGAAACGGACACATTGCTTTCAAGGAAAATGAGTGAATTTATCAATGGGTGGTTGCGAGAAAAAAAAAATTTAGGTGATCAGTTTCTCATCACTTTACTGTTTACTCTTCCGCTGCGTGAATTCCAGAGGTTAATCAACCCTTTTATTGGATAGTATTGCGGTCATGTCATAAATCTAACCTAAGCTAGAATAATTTCTACATTTTCTCTGCATCCATGTCTTGATCCATAAAAAGCACAGGTTGCCCTTCTTAAAACTTGGTGACATTTTACATATACTCTACTGCAGTTGCATATGCATCATCTATTCATGTGGCAGTTATTATTACTGTTTCTGTACGTAGGCTTATTCAAAAGGATCCATCCTTTTTACAAAGAAGAGTTCTTCAATGTTGAATACGTTTGTAGAAAATATGTTTCCTTAATTTTTTTTTTTTTTTTTGGGGGGGGGGGTTAATTTATGTTCAATGTGTAAATTATGGACTATGTTTAACATTATGCAAAGTAACGATAGAAGTGTATTTTTAACTGCATTTACTTACCTTGGAGGGAATGTATATTATTTGTATATTTAATTTAATGAAAGATGCCTTTATATATATATATATATATATATATATATATATATATATATATATATATATATATATATATATATATATATATATATATATATATATATATATATATATATATATATATATATATATATATATGAAATGCATATATTTTTAGTTTTAATTTATTTTGTTTCAAATAATGAGTCTGTAAACAGACCAAACGTAAAATAAATATTTAAAAGAAAAAGGATTATTTTCTTCTTTGAAAAGATGCTAACCAGATCCGATTGGATTTTTCGTGCCTATAATGGATGTGATATCGCAGCCCATGTTCATGGCATTATAACTAGTCAAATACGCTTAATTATAGCGAAGTGTCCAGGACGAACAGTTTTGATTTGTTGTAAAATTAATAAATCTGTTTAGTTCATGATTTGTTTAAAAACAACAGGGAATAAAACTCGCATATAAAACTTCCATTCATAATAAGTGTGTTCGATGGAAGCTCTAAACACTAATGAAAAATTCTTTTTTGGACTTAAGGACATACGCAACGTACCTTACCTACTGATAATTTTTCAAGATATTCTTAATTTAAGATTATAGTGCCATTAGATGTTCGTAGACAAAAAATCAGCATGCATTACCAGGGGTTTTGAAAAGATATCAATTGATGAAAATTCATGTATAATTCAAAGAAAAATATACAAAAAATACTAAACATATATTCTAGATGTTTTATTTATCCAAACTTGTTTTAGAAGAAGTGTACATCAGCATAAATGGACATTAAAATGTAGCACACAGTTCCTTTAAGTATTGGAACTCTTCAACTCCAGGGAAAAAGACAATAAAGTTCAAACTACGTTGCGTATATCCTTCAAGGAAAAAAAATATTTAAAGTTGTACATACTGACTGTATCAAGTTCAATTTCAACACAGGGTACCTGCCTAATTTCCCTAGGAAAATTGTTCATAGAAAGTGAACTATTTGTGAACAGAAGTCATTGTTGTTTACCGATATTTGAAAATAAATTTTAACATTACAAATTGTGTCATTATAACAAGATCCCCATTTATTCTATCGTACTTCTAAGGGCAAACCTTACTGCATAAAACTACCCTACGATTAGAACTCAAGTATGTGGGATTTAGAGCTTCCTTAACTGTAATTTATAACCATTTGTCTGTTTGGATGATTTTTTTAGATGACAGCTATACAGTGACCTTTATTCGTAATTTTCAATTTGTTCAAAATGCCATTAATTTAGAAGTATGACATCATGAAGTTCACATTTTCCCGCCATTTTAGCATATTTTGTATAAAACTGCTTGTTTTCAAGCAGTTTTTCTTCCAGAAAATATTGAGCGCAGACTTTTTACCAAAAATGTATCTATCCAAGACTAAATACTGACAGGAATATTTTGCATGTTCAAAGCTTCTCTCTATGTTTTCCATACGAAAAACGTCAAGAAAAAGGCCATTTTTGTCTTATTTTGATTGGATTGCAAAAATAGCATCATCTCTGACGTCATTTACAGTCTGTGAGTGTATATAAATGTGAAAATGTATTGGAAATATTTCCAATATAATCTCTTCTACAAAATAAAAAAATCAGTTATACATATCTGAATTACATTCTAAAATATTGATTTGGGGGGGGGGGGGGCAAAATTGACTCATCATATATAGTCATTTCCCCGCCACTTGATCTTTAGGATAATATCATTTAAAGAATGCATGAATGTGACTCAAATAAATAAGAGAATCATTAAATTTTGTTCTACTTTTATTTCCATTCTTGTCGTTTGGACTTTTCCCCCCAATTTTTATGAGCAGTACCCTTTAAGTGTCTGAAGACATTGTCACACGATTTAAGTGTCTCTTCAAATTCGATCTGAAAGCTGATACTTCCTCTTCGTCTCCTCCCTCTGGAAATTCTACATACGATTTTGATTCTATCAGATCCATCAGAGAAAACGGCAGTTTTTTCATGGCATTTTCCTCTAAAGCCACGAGAAAAAGAACATTTTCACCATTTCGCGAATAAATAGATTCCATTCGAGCCATGTTCAATTCAAACATACACCAGTATGATTCTAAAAAATGTGACGTCATAATACAAACAGTTTGTCTGCTGTTATGAATGGCATTTGTAATGTTGTCTTCAATACCTGTCCCTGGGATGAAATCACGATGATGTATACACAGCCTTAAGCTGCTTTTATCTTCCAGAAATTTCACAAGGGAAATAACAAATTGTCTGTCACTGTCAGCATAAGACATGAATGCATCAAAATGATATTGTTTTCCATGAGTTTTGTGGCTATATAATTTGTTATCTTTGTACTTTTCTCTAGCGACATAGTACATATATCTCAATTTCCACCTGTATCTATAGAGAATGCGACTGAGAGCGGTTGTTAAGGCGACGATTATTAATGACGTCATAACCACGATAAGAAGAATATAAGAAAAACACTGTTTCTCCAAAGTCTGTAGTAAATTTTCAATGTCAGAAAAATGAATCTTTGATGAATTTGAGAAAATACACGAATAACTATGGAAATGTAAAAATTTCACCTTTCTAGAAGTGTGCATCCATTTTATAAAATCTAAGTTTTCACAATCGCATCTTAATCTGTTTCCCTTTAAATTCACTGAGATTTCTTTGTCTTGTGATATCGAATCTAGTGCTTTTCTCGTTTCCTCATCTAAAGACGATAACTGGTTATTTGAGAGGTCCAAATTTAAGAGATTTGTCATATGATTTATAGGTATCGAAAACTCATTCAAAGAATTATAACTGACATCAAGATTTTCCAATTTATTCAGATTGCGGAATATTTTATTCGGAAGGGAAACAACTCTGTTCCGCTTTAAGTCCAAACTGGTCAACATACGAAGATATTGAAAAATATCTCCATTTTTATCCCTTTCTAAAGTTTCGCCTAATGCATTATGGGACAGATTGAGGTAAGATAAATTTCTAAAATATTGAAAGAAATTTGATGAGATGTGGCCGCAAAAATTATTGGAGAAATCTATATGTTCAACACTTTCAAATCCTACAATAGGGCCATTTAATTCGTAGATGATATTGTTTTGCATATAGAGATGTGTCAACATTTGTTTATGGACAGACTTGAAAACATAATCCTGTAGAGTAAACTTGTACAAATTGTCGTGAAAATAAAGCGTTTTCAGATTTCGTGGCAAGTATATACTTATATTAACATTTCCTTTCAAGGATGATGATAATTTAGGGTTCCTCCTCCAGATATCGGGATGTTCTGTGAATCTAGTGCCGACTGCTCGGGTATCGTTACATTTTATCAAAAATTCTTTGGTAAGCAACTGACGGAAAGAAGCTTGAAAGCTTACATTTAGACTGATTATATTGGGCAAATCGCCAAACTCCGCCAAATAAAATCCAAAACTCAGAATGTTATTAGCCAAATTCAGACGTTTGAGGGACTTAGGTAATTCTGTTAGAACTCCTGTTTCTAGACTGTTGATGCGATTTGACGCTAAGTTTAGTTCCTCCAGCTTTGTATGCCTAAGAAAAGCAGTGTGATATTTCATGAGATTGAAACTGACTCCATATGTACATTGTAATTTTTCAAAATTTAAAACTCGGATCGAAGAAGAATTTCGCAAATCTCTCGATACATTAACAAGAACTTCTATAGTTAATTCCCGATTATTTGAAATATCAAGATGTAGCAGTTTTGAGGAGTTCTCAAAAGTACCAAGCTCAATAGTCCTAAGTTTATTGTTAGAAACAGTCAAATTTCTCAAGTCTTTATATTTGCTCAATGACGTCATATCAATTTTTTGCAGTATGTTCTCCGAGACGTCTAAATATAGTATTCCCCTGGGATGGCTTTCTGGGAAATTCGCAATACTGTTTCTTGCTAGATTTATCCCTGTGACGTCATCGTTGAAAAATGGCGCTGTTGTAAGGTTAAGGTTTTCACAATTTGCCCACAGTTTTCCTCGATAGGTCTGACATCTACATCTTTTGTCTGACGAACATTCAAGAGATTCTACTTTGAAATGTGTTGCAAGTAAAACAAAAAAGCAAAGAAGTCCAAACATGGCGTTTGAATATTCCGAATTTCTACAAGCAGATTGGATAAAATTAGTATATGCATTAGATAATAAAACAGTGATGGCAATTCTTTTTCTGCATTATTATTTTTAAGAGAATACATACCTCTAAATGAAATCTTTTCAGGTACAATTTACTCTCTCTGTTAGAAAAAAAGATAAATGAAGACAATAATCTCGATTTTTAAAATATATTCATTTAGTCAAACATGGATCATATTGAGATAATTGAAAAACAACTGATATTTTTTTTGAAAAGCTTATATTAGAAAGTGATTATACAAGGGCCATGTCGAGATAATTTTAAAAAAGAGTTTCTTTTCTCGTTATATATATATAAAAACTTCCATGAATAAACTAACACCGGAAAACTTAAGAACGTCAAGGCCAAAGCATTTAAACTAAATGGGATGAATGAGTTTTAAACAGTTAAAATATAATTGCATGTATTTACCTTTGTAGCAGGAAATGGATAGCTGGAAAGATTTAAAGTTTATCCATCTAGTTTTTATACTTAATATGACTGAAATCAGTAAGGCATAAATATATTATGTACAGGAAGGGTGATTATTTTTGTCTCTCATACGGCAAAGTACAATACATTTGCTTTCACTTAAATGGCACTTCCTTGCATTGCTAAAAAAAATTTTTAACAAAAAGATGGGATTGAAAATGATAATTCAGGTACATCTAATTCACTTCCGGAAGAAACGTCTGAACAAAGGGATTTTGAGGAATTATTGTTAAAGAGAAAACTTTCATAATAGAAACGTTATGATTTGTAACTTTCATAATACATGTACTTTTTCTTACAACAGGGACTTTTCTTTATCAGGCACATTCTTTTAAAGCTTATTGCTTTGGTATATTTTTTTAAAGGATTTTGACTATATAAATGGAAATATTGACAGGTGTATATTATGTGATCTTGGATGTTATATTAAGACTATTTTTTCCCCTAATTCAAAAATATCTATTGCTGAGTTAAAATGTTGATTTTTCTCCATAAAGCTTATTTAACAATTACTAGGAACAGTTTTTCTTTTCTATAAATACAATAATCATGAACATAAAACAAACATACCTTTAAGATTAGACACTTTATTTAAAGCAATGCAAAAAAATGATTTTATAAAAAAATTTATTGCGCATTCAATTTAAAAATTATTTTAATTTATATTAATGAATTCAAGTATGAGAGAAGAGCTTATAATTACCTACGAAGCCTATAACGAGTGCTTGTGAATGTTAAAAACAGTGTTGAAAATCTTTCTGTGATTCTATACAGGCTGTATGCTTTTACTTCTATATGGAATTAAATCCTTCAATTGAAAAAGTAATGATTAAATCTTTCTCTCTCTCTCTCTAGTGATGCATGTCTCAAGTCAAATTTATTACCTAGAGGCTTAATGCTCTAAGAAATATGCGCATCATAATGCATTAATAGATTTGTGTACGCATTTTAAAAAAAATCTTCCGGTTTGTATTGCAATCTTCTAAGTATTTTATACGGATGTGATCTCTTAGCTATATTTTTATTGCGAATATACAGAAAAACCTAGCTATTTTAAATTTAAAAAAAATAGTAAGATAACTTACCAATTGCTTGCCACACAATTTTCTTAAAATTGCACAATTTTTCCCGTAACAAAATGGAGATAGGAACAATAACAAACTACGCATTTAAAGCTCCACAAAAAGGTAGGGTCGATCTGAATCACCCATTTAATTTACGATGGAGGTCACGGCAAGTTAACATGGATGATGGAATCAATATTGATTTCTTACCCCTGTTCTTTCTTTGTTGTTCAGGAAATTTGACGCGCACATTGCTAGTGTGCTACTTAGGTAAAATGTGGATTTTTTTTTGGTTCATCAGATAAACTAAGGAGACCTTCAATGTATGATAAAGACTTAAATATCAGGTTGCATTTTTTAATTGCTGGATTCGTGCCATTTAATCGTAATTAAAATAATATCAAGCATAATAGAAACTGAATATGACAATTGAACTATTGAATACTTACCAATATATTCTTACACTGTTTATTTTTTTTTTTATCTTATCAAGACTTGCATTTGAAAGAAATGTTTTAATTTACTGTACTTAAGAAAAAGAATTTTAAGGTTTCTTAAAATACTTTATGTATATTGATAATTTATTTGGTCACATTTGCTGGAGTTATCGCGCTTGCAATTTACGCCGGCATCTTCTTATATGGTCAGTTAAGGCAGTGTCGCAAGGCAGAACCAATGGAATCGTTTCGCGGGAAAACTGTGGGTGCGTCTTTTTAGATGTAGCGTTGGTTTTCACTTTCTTACAGGACGCCGGCGATTTTATACACGGAAAATTTTTAAGCGATTTTAATCCACCTCCACCCCTCCACCTTCCTTTTATTATGGATAAACCATATCAATTTGTTTCTATATTGCGGTTTCAGACCACAAGGAATAGATGTTTTGGAAATTTTGTAATCACATCATTAATTAGATATTTAATGGGAATTATTGATTAATATTGATTTAAAATATTAATTTGGTAGATAATCAAATATTTATAATTGTATATCAATTTTTAATAAGGTTATTATTACATAACCATTTAATGTGATCTACGTAATTATATGTAATCTAAATTTGGGATAATTAATAAAGTCACAGTGGTGGCAAAGTGCAACATAAACTTTTCTTTCTGTGTTATGTATTAATATGTATAAGATGGAGTGCTCAGGTGGTTTAAGGACATTAAGTTACACGAGTGGAGGAAAATCATACTATTCGAATATGCATCGAATTATGCTTTACTTAGAGTCTGGGGAATTCGAACATTATCAATTATGGATAAAGGGAAGTTTAACGAATTCGATATCATTTTCTGCTCTTTTTTAAATTTAATTGCACTTGATAATGCATCGTTAGATAAGTATTTCAAATAGCATTTGTTTTTCACATATATCTCTGAACAGATGAATAAAGGGAGAAATAAGAACACCAGCATTATATATAAACCTCCTTTATTAAGTAACTTCTAAAGAAATTGCTCTATTACAGAAAATCGTAGTATTAGTATGTAGTATATACTACCCGTGCATAAATAGTTGACAGAGATTGGCATTTGTATTCCAAAATGTCCAAAATCATACAGTCTTCTCTTTTCTGTCGGTCATAGGTTATGTTTATGTAACATGATTTGGTTTTAGTTTTGTAATTTTCTTTTCTTTTCCCTCTAAATATAACATGCTTTCGATATCATTTAATAGTTACAAATTTTGTTTTCTTATAGCCTCTTTTTTGCTTTTATAGATATGGAAAAGATTTATGCTCCTTAATAGATGCCAAATGTATGGTATGTCAAACTGCAAAATTCAATTTTTTCCATTTGTATTGTATAATTTTTATTTGCATTCTATAACTTTCCATTTAGATTGTGTAACATTGATTTGTGTTCTATATTTTCTATTTGTATTGTAAAAAATTTCAATTCATTTATATTGTTTTTTTTTTAATTTTATTCTATATTTTCCATTTTCATTGTATAATCTGTTATGTGTATTCTATAATTTTTTATTTGTATGTGACAATTTTTCATTTGTTTGTTTCTGAGGGATTGTTTCTTTATTTCGTTACTAAGGATTTCATTGGTTAAGTTTTAGTCTTTTTGTAGTATAGTGTTCAAAGCAAGCGAGATGTTTCGGGTGCCGGACACAAACTGAGCTCTTCTATTTGCAAGCATGCTAAGGTCGGTCATTATATTCTCAAGGTGGGGGGCAAATTTTGTCGAATCAGATTACTTATTTTCATGCTTTTGCAGGAGAGATTATGTATTTCCTAGATGACCAGAGACAAGGCAAAGAAGAAAATTTGCCCAAACAGGAAAACTATGCTTCTTTGTGGGGTGGGGGTGGGAGGTGGGGGTGGGGTGGGGTTAGTCACCACCTGTCAAGATCAAATTATTTTCTATGTCATCATCCTTAAGGACTTATTAGATTATTTATTTGCCATCTGCCAGCGCTCCCCTTTCAAAATCAAATGACCGTCCTTTAACATGCACGCAAATACACATTGGAGCCCAGTTTGCTCTGAATACCAGAAACACCTCGATCGTTTTCAACGGCGATAAGGCTAAAACCTGACCAATGAAATTCTTCCTAACGAAACAAATAAACAATCCACGGATACAATACAAATGAAAAGTTATCGCATATAAACAACAAATTTTACAATACAAATAAGAAATAATACAATGTAAATGAAAAGTATAGAATGCAAATAAAAAATTATACAATTCAAATGATTTTTTCTACAATACAAATGGAAAATATAGAATACAAACAAAACATTATATAAAATATAAAATTATCCCACCTTGAAATGAAATATTTTGTAAAAATCTTCGTTTTATGTGCCAAAAACTAATTTTCAGTTTATTATTATTCCTACTTCTGTACATGACTGGAATTTAGAGTTGGTCTATTATGGTATAGAGATATATGTTAATGATGATTTTACTGGTTGTTTTAAGACTACCAAAGACTTTTCAATCCAATGGGTACATTACAGAAATCCCTTTCTATTGAATTTTACCTGATAATCATTTCTTGAAAAAACAAATAAACGCTATATCATCGGATTGCTATTCTTTCTGTAAACATCAGGTTGAGACAACTCAACATATTTTTATTAATTGTGACAAGGTATCCCCAATATGGAGTGATCTTAGCATGTATTTTTAACAAACATCTTTAATGTATTAATGTAATTAACATTTTATTAGGTGAACTTCCTTTGTCTAAAGGCAAGAGAGTTGTAATTTTTTTTGTCTTATATACAAAGCATTATATTTTTTCGTGTCTAAAAGCCTCTTTGATATTCTATTTAATATAGGGTTAAACAAATACTGCAAGCCAGAATTCGGAAATAGAATACAAAAGTTTAATAATAGCTGGCAGAAATGGAAATGTTTATTTTTCAATACCAATAAGTTAAAA